TTCCGGGTCGTGACATTTAACTTCTACAGAAATATCTCAAATCAATAGGAAGCGGATCATAATTCAATGATTTCTTCATCACCCAAATGACTAAGAGATCCGTAATGAAATAACTTTTTAGAGCCAAAAATACAACATACTTTTAATCTTCCAATATAATTTTTTTTCCTCAAAAAAATCTCATTTTTGTAAGGCTTCAATGTTATAATTTTAATAAGCAATTTTTTCCCCTCTTCTTAGGATCAAGCTAGATAACTCGGGACACCATGATCCCCCACATTTTTGAAAATTTCAAGTTAAGGAGATAACATTTTCACAATTCATAAAGAGTTCTACCAATTTATAAATAGCAAGCTAATGATATAGCTTCACCCAATAAGTCACAAGAATACAGAGATCTTATCTTATCTATTATTTCTATTATACTAATACAGAGGAGATTTATAAAATTAACACATAATCATCATCTTCCCTTTTATATAAAAAAAAATCTATCAAATTCTGTTTGACATGAATGATTATCATGTATAGTAAATTATTCACTCTTTCATTCTCATAGAATTAACAAAGAACTTATACAACTTGGGTATAGAAATCAATCGTGCTTTTATTTTTAACACCAAATTCAAAACTCGAATTTATTGAAATTAAAGAATAAATTTAAACCCACTATCTTAGAGCTTTCAAGATTTTAAAAAATAGATAACAATAAAAGTCTATATTTTTGTAGGCTTAGGCGCATTTAAATACTATAAAAAACGTACTTTAATTTTATGGTGCAATTTACCCTCCATAATGCGATAATGCACAAAATTGAAATAGCAACTTGATTAACATTTCGTTGCTCACATAAATAATTTCAATAAAGAGTGGTATTCTCCACAAGACCATTGTGCAAACTTGAAGTGTAGGTTCCATTTTCAGAATTAGAACAATAACTTGGACAACGTCAAATTCGATTCTCCATAATAAAAATTTGGAAATATCCTTAAGATTGTTGTAAAAATTGGATGATTATGGAGAATAAAAGGTGTAGCTTAAGGCGTGTCAAAGACACTGTCCTTAAGGATATTTCGCCCACACCGTAATGAATAAAATTAGACGTATCCTCCAGGATTCAACAAACTTTTCTAGTATAAACTAGGAGCAGAAATAACAAAGATCGAATAAAATAAAACCCAGCACAAAGAAGAAAATTAGCAGATTGTTTTTTCACACTCTCCAAACGAACACAAATGTATACTTATATATAGTCAAAAGTAGACATATGATTTTGAAGAACATTGTATATTGAAATTAATGCCAAAACGTTATCAAAGTTAACAAAACAGACGTTACATATTTTAAATGTATTTAAGCCAAAAACGTTATCAAATAACAAATCTCTTATCATCAAAAGTCAAACTGTTTTTAATAGTCATAATGATAGCCATTTAAGGTTAGTAAAATTACTATATTCAAAGTTATTTAAAATTATAAATTTATAATAATAGCTATTAATCATGACTAATAAATGATAATGAATATGTTATATTTTATTTTTGAGATATAAGAATTATCTTCTAACAATAGCAAGCATAGAACCAGCCAAACATGATAAATAATATGTTACACTGATTAAATAAAACTATAGTGATAGTGCAAATTTTCTTTGCAAAAATGATTAATTTGTTAAACCTCACAAAATCTTGGACATAGAAAAATAATAAGAAAAGAAACTCGGAAGAAAAGGCAATATTTCAAGAATGTAGTAGAGTATCATTCAAACTTTAGCAATAATTTTGACAGAAATCAATTTTCCGCAATTTTTAAAAGACTAAAACATATTCATGAAAAAAAATTAAAGAACTGTCTTAATAGTTTGGTGAGATTATAAATTTATATCGAAACATATGATTTTATTAAAAATTAAAAATCTAATAAGAAGTTGAAATAGATTTTGTTCGATCGTTGTATCAGTTCTTAAGAACCACTGATACCCCACAAACGTAGTAATAAATGATAAAAGATAGCCTACAGTTACAAAAATATCTCCACCACTATCCGCATAATCCTTACGATCTCTAACAAGAGCACAAAAAGAGAAAATATCTTACAGAAAACTACAAGATGCTAGTAATTTATATTAGAACACACAACTAGTATGCCATACTATTTTATATTATCTAGCAATTATGCTATGTAAAACAAAATTTTCTGTAGAGATTATTTCAAGATAGATATTACTCTGTCTAAGACACCCAAAGTAATTATAACTACCTAGATTTATCACCAAAAACTCATACTAGAACTGCTACTATCTAAAACATGATGTTAAGGAAATTCAACTATTACTTGTCTTAATGGTGGTTCTTCATCGAGAATATTAGTGTTCATTATAGTTTTTCACCTATATATTTTCATGAGGGTGACTCATATTTCGATTCATTATCTTAAATTGTAAGTAACGTATGACTAATCAATCCATCTCAACCCAATAGTTAAAATTGGAAGCTTATGATGACAATTAAGGGAAGTAAACACAAGTGATTATGTAAAGATAGAGTTTTATGGTTCAGGAATTTTGGAAAAGATAATTTTTTTTACGTAAAATAAAGTTTTATGTAAAGATTATTTCAAGATAAAGCAATATCTGATTTAAGACACCTAAGGTTATTATAAGTACCTACCATTATCTGAAAAAGCTCATACTAGAACTACTAATGTGCTTCTTCTTGTCACACCCCAATCTTGGGAGGTGTGGCTGGCACCCGATGCCCGAGCGAATCAACCATGAGATATGATCTGAAATATAATAACCTGCAGGCAGAAAAGCCCAAAACGACACACACACACACACANGCTCTGTCTATCCGAACATGTGGGCATGAACACGGAGCATAAAAAGGCGTCAGTACGAAATATGTACTAAATATGTAGGGCGACAAGTGTAACATGAAAAAATGTAATTATTAAGAGAAGAGATATAGAGACAATTTGAATTCTGAAACTAGCCTCGATAGGAAATTAAAATTCAACATGGATATAAATGTATGCTCGTGGAATCGTCGCTCACTATCGCTACTTATAACATATTACATTATATAATAATAAATCCCTCTGTGGGGATACAATATCCATAACATACTCGGCCATAATAAAGGCTCGGTAGAATCGTACCCGGCCACGTGAAGCTCGGTAATCCCAACTGATCAGTGGTTATACAATAGGTGTCATACCCGGCCATCTATAGTGCGGCTCGGTAATGAAAGTAAATACATATATACATTAAATCATGAATTATATAAGTACAATGCAAAACTAACCTTAAAAGACGTATTCTAAGAAGAGTCGAAGTGGCCTATCATCATTATTCCCCGACTATCATGGTTGTCGCTAAAATATTTAATTTTTCAACTACGAGCCAACAAGTACTAAGAACATGAGAGTTATGTATTATGAGTATCTTTGAAGTAAGTGTTACTTATTCATAATTTATATGAACGTGGAAAGGAGAACGAGTAAAAAGGCTCTAGTTCTTTTTAAGCAAAGAACAAGGAAAACCGAGAATTCATAGTTATTCTCTGAAGTAAGAAATCTATGAGAAAGGATCAGGTCTAAGAATCTTTATAACTTGAATGTGAAATAACTCAAATCCGACAAAACAATTCGATAAACGTGTATTCGAATTCTAGTAATACCGAAAAGTATAGCGAAAGCCCTACATACCTTGTCGATGGAGTTATATACGGTTTCTGAGACCTCGAAAGCCTTAGGAATGATTTCCTACATAATACAAACCATTCAATATCAAATTCAAGCTCATATCTTATATAATTCTTCATTTAGACATTTAAGCGAACAACTTGCGGGTATGAATTTGTAGACTCTTTTGTAGCTTAATTTCCCCCAACACACCACAAAACTTTTACTTTACTACATCGACACGATTTCATCCATGTCTTCACAGATCCAAACAACACAATAAAACCATATAAAACAGCCCCAACAATCAAGTCATATTAAGAGAGGTTTCTTAAAAAAAATCAAGAACATTTCTATAGAGGTTTCAACTATTTCTTAGGAATTCTTATGGTAGAAGTTTACAAAGATCAAAGAGGAAGTTAAATCATACCTTATATGACCAGAATTACTTTAAATTCGAGATTACTTCAAGGTGGAGTCTTCCTACGAAAAGTGAAACACCGAAGAATTCACGATTCCGAAGCTACCATGGTGTTCTCTATCTTGAGGATGACTAAATTGTTGTTATGATTGGCTAGATGGATGGGAGGAGTTTGAGAGGAAATCCCTAGGTTTTAGGTTCTGTTTTGGAGAGGATAAAATGCAGGGGTTATGTTTTAAAACTAACTTAAATAAATTTTTTTTTAACCAAAACCGACTATGCACACTGTTCCCATAATAGTGTGCACCCCTGTACGAAAATGTTAATATCTCTCTACTCCGAAGTCGTTTTAACGAACGGTTTATTGCGTTGAAAACTAGACTCATAGACATTTTATTCGATAGGTAGAACACACCATAACTCCTAGAATATCGAGAGAAAAGATCATCAACATTTTATCCAAATTTTAGTGAAATTTAAAACCCGTAACTTGCGGCGATCTTTGTCGAATTTTTAATCACAACTCGAATGACTTCCAATCTTAACGTATAACTATCGCATCATTTAAATATCTCATAGAAATTATCTTCCTATCGAATTAGCCCATTTACAGCATGATAACGCCGAATACACAAGGTGTAACATTCTCCCCTCCTTAAGAACATTCGTCCTCGAATGTTAACGGTTAACTTAACTTCTGAATTTTTTTTTTTAAAAAAAAATTCGCCAGAGTTTCCCCTATAAATATGAATATCCAAAACCTATCATCAGCCCAAACATACATATCTAAGGCCACACAGGGCTACACATCATAATAATAACATCAACTTGGCCTCACACGACCATTTACTTATACAATAATGATAATAAGAAGGTTAGCCATAACTTAATTACCTCAACTGTCACTGGTTGATATATGTGCAACACCTGCCATATTTGTCTCAAGCATATCACCTGAAGACTCAAATAAATGAGGGTATCTGGACTTCATGTCCTCCTCGGCCTCCCATGTCATTTCCTCTACATTATTGTTCCTCCAAAGTACTTTTACTGAGGCTACCTCTTTAGTCCGTAGCTTACGGATTTGACGGTCAAGAATGGCAACATGTATTTCTTCATATGACAATTCCTCGGTAACTTGAATATCCTCAATAGGGCTGATGCAAGAAGGATCACCTAAAAATTTGCGAAGCATGGAAACGTGAAATACCAGATGGATTGCGTCTAATTCCGGTGGCAAGTCAAGTTTGTAGGCTACTCGCCCAATTCTCTGAACAATCTGATATGGCCCGATATATCTAGGGCTGAGTTTTCCCTTCTTGCCAAATCTCATTACACCCTTCATAGGTGACACTTTCAAGAATACCCAGTCTCCCACAACAAATTCCAAGTCTTGACGTCGGCTATCTGAATATGATTTCTGTCGACTTTGAGCTGTACGCTACCTTTCCTGGATCAACTTTACCTTTTCTACAGCTTGCTGTACCAATTCGGGTCCTAGAAACTTTGTCTCGCCAACATCAAACCAGCCAATAGGAGATCTACATTTCCTCTCATATAGTGCCTCATAGGGTGCCATCTGAATACCGGTGTGATAACTGTTATTGTAGGCAAACTCAATAAGCGATAAATGATCTTCCCAACTTCCCTTGAAGTCTAAGACACAAGCTCGCAACATATCTTCGAGCGT